TAGATAGATAGATAGATAGATAGATGATAGAAGACAGATAGATGATAGACCATAGGTAGGTAGATAGATAGATAGATAGATTATAGGTAGATAGATGATAGATAATAGATGAGATAGATGATAGATAGATAGATGATAGACAGATAGATAGATAAAGATAGATAATGAGATAGATGATAGATAGATAGATAGACAGATAGATAGATGATAGATAGATAGATAAGTGATAGATAGATAAAGATAGATAATAGATGAGATAGATGATAGATAGATAGATAGATAGATAGATAGATAGATAGATAGATAGAGAGAGATAGATAAATGATTGATACATAGGTAGGTAGGTAGATAGATAGATGATAGGTAGATAGATAGATGATTGATACATAGGTAGGTAGGTAGATAGATAGATAGATAGATAGATAGATAGATAGATAGATAGATAGATAGATAGATAGATAGATAGATAGATAGATAGATAGATAGATAGATAGATAGATAGATAGATAGATAGATAGATAGATAGATGTGTCTGGGTTCAGGGGTGGCTCAAGAAGTAGACTCTATACTAATCTGGGGATCACATAGCACAAACTCTGTACCCACAGGGAAGCACATTTGTCTTGGCGAAGGCATTGCCCACAATGAATTGTTCCTCATCTTCACCACCATCCTCCAGAACTTCTCCGTGGCCACCCCGTGGCTCCGATGGACATTGACCTCACCCCCAAGGAGAGTGGAATGGGCAGAGTACCCCCAACATACCAGATCAGAAGGAAGTGGGTCTGTGGAATCCAGGAGTGTTTCAGTTCTGTGAAGAATGGCCCCATCTTCCTGCCTCTGAGAGACCTGCTGAAACCCAGGCCCTAGGAGGCTGCTCATGTCTTCCCATCACACTGCTCCTCCTCCAAGCTCTAGGATGTGCTCCTCTCCCATATTGATAGAACCAGAGAAAACAGCCACGTGCCTGTGTTGGTGGAGACAGAGATTCTGGAGGCCACAGCACCTGACGAACCACTTCTCTCTTGCTTGTAGCAACCACAGTTCCCATCTATCAGCTCCCTGTGCTCCATGGTCTGTGCTAGGGGACTCTGCATATGGTCTAATTTCTGTGCAGCCTCATTTGTATATTTTTATAATAAATGGAGTAACACAGTGTGTGATCTTTTATGTCTGATGTCTTTTACTTCATATATATTTTCGAGGTTTCTCATGTTGCAGACCGCAGACACACACCATCAAAGGCTTCTGTTTCTTATCATCATCACCTGCATCTTCTCAGTAAGCAAGAGCACCCCCATCCCATGTCCTCTGAGCTGTATGAGCCAACAGAGCTACCTTGGATTCCCTTCTGTTTCTCTTTAAATCTCCCAAATATCACACAATCACTCAAACCCTGACCTCCCTGGTCAATAGAGGATTCATGCTATTTTTTGCATATTATCTATTGATTGCCATTCCTGGAGATCTTTCTAGAAGGTCTTTTGGTAAGAACCTTCCTTTATGTCAATGCCAGCTTTGTGTAGGGCCACCCTGTTGTCTTCTTCACAGCTGTATTGTGAGCACCTGGAGTAGCAGGTGGCCTACACCAGGTGTTCAGAATGTTTGCTGAGGAATAATAAACAAATAATAAATAAATACCCAAAGGAGATATCACTAAGTCACCCAATATGCGCTAGTCTTCTATGTCTTTTATATCTCACTTTCTTCTGATTCCAAGGGCAAATCCCTGTCTCCAAGGGGTTCAGGATGGCCCCAATTCTGACTGGAAACGCCTCTTGATCACTGTCTTACTACCTTCTACCAGAAAGTGGCTAGAAGCCATCCATTCAGTGGAACCACTTGAAACTCGGTCTCCACACATCACACTGCTGGCCTCTCCGCTCTTCCTTAGGGAACTGTTGTTTGTTTGGCATCGTCACCCTGAAGGTATCTCCAGGCGGCTGGAGGCCAATGGGAAGCCAGCTTTCTGTTGCAGCCCTGAGATATTAAATTTCTACCTGCCACACGAGACCCCCTGCAGCCTTTGGAGAGTTACCAGGAACTTTGTCAAGGTTATTCCTAGGACATTCCCCTCCATCAACCAAGAAACAAAAAACAGGCCGGTCAACCTTCAGGAAAATGTGCCGTAGAGAGAGGAGATGGAGCTGTCTGGCTTCCCCCTCTTCATCCCCCTCCTCCTCACCACCTGGGTAGACTGGATCTGGATTCTCTCTACCTCCAAGGGCCGTCCCCTTCCTGGACCCTGGCCTCTGCCTTTGCTGGGGAATATTTTGCAAATTGACACTAATGATTCTCTCAAGCCCTTCCCCCGGGGAAGGGGGAAGGGGGGGACTAGAAGGGAGATGACATTCTATGTTTTAAAAATCTCCCTCACCTCACAAGAAATAAAATCTTTCTTGTAACTAGTGGTAGAAATATTCACTCCCATAAGACCAGGCACAAGGCAGCCTCCACCCCAGGTCCCAGGGTCCCACAGGTCTCACCTTAGGGACATGCTATATCTTCATCATTCAGTTCTCTCTCTCTCTCTCTCTCTCTCTCTCTCTCTCTCTCTCTCTCTTCCCTGGACACATCTCTCTATCTGTTTAGGTCTCTATTAGCCATGTTCTGCATCTCTATGTCCCCGTGTCATTGACCTCTTGCCCAGACCCTGGGGCCCACCCTGGGTTTTCCGTAGCTCCTCTACCAACACTGAGCCTCCTCCTTGATCCTCTCATCGATGCTCCATTTCCCCATCCCAAAGTCCTTCATGGTGGTCAAACAGAACCTCCTGAGGACTTTCCAAGGTTTTCCATTGGCAAAGAATATGCCTATTTGGTGGGGTGCGGTAGGAAGATTCAGAGGACTCACCCAGTCTTCCCTCCAGCAGCCCCCAGGGCCCATCCCCCACTCACCAGTTCCCTGGAAGATGGGATCAGTGATGGCGATGAACCCTCACCCACAGAAAGCCTCAGCCTGATCCACTAGGGCCTCCCGCATCGCCTGGTATCCACACAGGAATACGACAGTGTGGGGCCCCAGGTAGATTGTGAAGACGTCCCCATATTTCTCCCAAAGCTGCAGAGGCAGAGCCCAGATCTCACCATCTGACCCCAGTGAAGGGGCCTTCCTCTCATACCTGGATCACACCCTCCAGTGTTGCCTGAGCCTCACCAGGGAAGACCCAAACCTTCAACTCTATGGTTTTACACAAGCCTCCCTCACATTCCTTTCCCAAGGGTCTTGATCGCTGATCTTTTCCCCAGAATCTTCCCAGCTTTGGATTTTATGAATTTCACAGGCCCCCACACCCAAGCTCTCTCCCTATGCTGCAAAAGCAGTTGCCGGGGTTCGGGATCTAGACAGCCCTTGGAGATGAAGCGACCCCAGATCTAGACTAGCAAGACGCTGAGGAGGATGAAGAGGGGGAGCCCAGAGAGCTCCAAGGTCCCTCTCTACCTGTAGTACATTCTTCTGTCTCTCTTGAAGGGCTTGCTGCCTTGCTTGTGGTTTTATTTTTGTGGTTTTGAGAAGAGCGTGTGATAGGGCTCTTTAGAAAAGTTCCTGGTGACTCTCCAAGGAACCCCAGTGTAGCAGGCAGAAATTTAGCATCTCAAAGTTGTGGCTGAAAGTCAGTTTCCCAGTGGCCAGTGGCTGACTGGAGTTATCTTCTTAACTGATGATGTTAAATAAACAACACTTCCCCCAAGGAAAAGCATAGATACCCACAACGTGATGTGTGGAGGCTGAGCTTTAAGTGGGTCTACTGAAAGGGTGGCTCCCAGCCACTTTTGTCAGGGGGTGGGAAGACAGGAAGTGAGGTCAAGAGGAGCTGCCTTAGAGAACTGCACCCTGCGGGGACAGGATTTATTCTGGGCATCAGAAGAAATTGAGATGTAAAGTGAGACAGGAGTGGTCAACTGCACGTTTGGGTGATTTTACTGAGTGGAGGCTTCGTCACTATTTACTTATCTTTCATTTATTCATCCCTCAATAGGTATTTTGAACACCTGGCCTAGGCCACCTGCTGTTCCAGATGCTCACAGCACAGCGGTGAACAAGACAGCAGCTTCATCCCTCACAGAGCTGCCGTTAATGCGATGGAGTTCTCACCAAAAGATCTGGAAAGATCCCTAGGGACCTGACAACCCATAAGTCATGGGCAAACACAGCAGGAATCCTCTCCTGAGCAGGGAGGTCAGACTTCGTGTGCTCATTTGATTCCTGGGAGATATAACAGGAAACAGAGGATCTAAGGTGTTTGTGATGGTGTCTGACTGTGCTCCGTAATGTAAAATATCCTCAAAAATATTGTGTGAAGCAAAACACACGGGACACAAAAGACCACACGTTGACCCCATTTATATGAGGCACACAGAGTAACAAGTCCATAGACGGAAACCGGGCCTTGTTTGTTTGTTGTTGCAGGAGTGGGGAAGAGGGGAGTGGGAAGTGACGGCTTAGTAGGTCCAGGGGTGATGCGGGACAGAAACACCCGGAACTGCATAGTTGTAGTTGTACAATACTGTGAATGACACTAAATCGCACACCTTGAAAAACAGTTTTACAGCTGGATGTGGTGGCGTGTGCTTATAGTGCCTGCACTTGGGAATGAGTAAGGAGGATTAGGATGTTAAGGCCATCCTGGGAAACATAGCAACCTTGAGGCCAGCCTGAGCTACCTGACACTCTTGCTTACTGAGAAGATGCAGGTTGATGATGATAAGAAACAGGTTGATGGTGTGTGTCTGCGGTCTGCAACATGAGAAACCTCAAATATATATATGAAGTAAAAGACATCAGACGTAAAAGATCACACACTGTGTTACCCATTTATATAAAAACATACAACTGAGGTTCAACCATAGACACAGACTTTAGACCATATGCAGAGTCCCCTAGCACAGACCATGGAGCACAGGGAGCTGATAGATGGGAACTGTGGTTGCTACAAGCAAGAGAGAAGTGGTTCATCAGGAGATGTGGCCTCCAGGATCTCTGTCTCCACCAACACAGGCACATGGTTGTTTTCTCTGGTTCTATCAGTATGGGAGAGGAGCACACCCTAGAGCTTGGAGGAGCAGCAGTGTGATGGGGAGACGTGAGCAGCCGCCTAGGGCCTGGGTTTCAGCAGGTCTCTCAGAGGCAGGAAGATGGGGCCATTCTTCACAGAACTGAAACACTTCTGGATTCCACAGACCCACTTCCTTCTGCCCATTCAGAGGGGCAGAAAGCTGATCTGGTATGTTGGGGGTATCCTGCCCACTCCACTCTCCTTGGGAGTGAGGTCAATGTCCTTCGGAGCCACGGGGCTGGCCACGGAGAAGTTCTGGAGGATGGTGGTGAAGAAGAGGAACAGTTCATTGCGGGCAATGCCTTCACCAAGACAAATGCGCTTCCCTGTGGACAGAGGGTGAGTCATGTGAGTCCTAGGCAAGTAGAGTCTTTTTTCTGCCCCTTGCCTGAGCCCAGAACCTGTGCCCATTGCAGTGGATGTGTGGTATTCTTAACCAGCAATTCAGGAGAACGATGAAGAAATTTTCAAAACCTCAAAAACAGGTGTAAAACACCAGATGGATGTTCCAAGTTTACATTTAATAGAGTTTGTAGCTTTTGTTAGATTTCCAATGGGTTCATTGCACCAGAGAAGGAAGAACCCACTTGGAGTAGCATATGAGAGTGTCCATACATATTTATAACTGGACATCTTTAGTGGTCTTCACGTCTATCATGAGAGCAATAGTGCCCATCTCATAGGGCTGTTGTAAGGGTAAAGTCAATATTTGAAAAGACTGATAGATTACCACCTGGTTAATATTAAGAATTCTCTATGATCCAGGCATGATGGTACATGCCTGTAATCCCAGCACCTGGGAATGTGATGACACAGGTGGATCATGAGTTCAAAACAACCTGGGTTATATATCAAGACCCTGTCTCTTAAAATCCAAGCGGGGGGAGGGAAAGTGAGGGGAAAGAGAGGGGAAGGGAAGAGGAAGTAGGAGGAGAGGGAGAAAGGAAGGGAGGGGGCAGGGAAGGAGGGAGGGAGCTAGGAAGGGAGGGAAAGTGAGAAGGGAGGGAGAGAGGAAGGGAGGGGGAAAGGGAGGAGGGAGGGAGAGAGGAAGGGAGGGGAAAGGGAGGAAGGAGAGAAAGAGGAAGGGAG